AGTCGAAATTTGCGTTCGTAATGTGCTTGTGCATGGATGTGAAACGAAATGGCGAAACGTAGAATTAACATGGCATACGAGTATATACCAAATCAAATGTTGTGTGTAGCTCGGCGTATCTCCACGCTTCGAAGGGGAGAGGAAATAAATTCACTCACGCAGGAAGCAATATAGGCAGCGTTATTGTTGATTTTAGTGACTGATTGATTAATTAAAGTCGATTTCCTATGCGGCATGCCAACACAGCGCGCATTAGAGGAAGCATTACGAATTGATCACAAAAATAAATGGCATTCCGTGCCATAAAGCGGAATTGTGATAAATTCAATACAAACATTTCAAATGGATACAAATGGCTCAATAATTTTCATTCGAAAACTTCAAAATAGGTACTATTTGCGAAACAAATAGTTCCCGCTGGGAACTTTGTCCATGTCAATCATTGTCCGTGAATTATGCAACATTGAATTATACCTACAATTTTAATTTTCATCAATTCTTTTTGGCATGTAATGCAATGTAGGTATATAGAAGGTAAAACGCCGACTGACAGCGAAACGCAAACACGAAATAAAATTTAAGCATTTCCATTGTCATTGAATAAATAATGTTGTTTGTTCTTGGGAGTTTGAATAATCGTCGTTCGTTTGCGTTCGCTGTGAGACATTATTTATTTATAGCGAGGGCGGGTAGTTTTTGGAATCGCACGCCCACGGTACCAGCACCATAAGGATGGGAAAGTATAGTAGTGTGTGAAACAGCAAGAAGCCGCCGCCGCCGCCTCCGCCGTCGCTTGGATGGTGCATCCGCGTACCCCGAAAATGGACGGGAGGCCGCGAAGCGCCATCCGGATACATGAAGTATGAGAAAATGTTGGCGGAATAGGAAGCAACGTGAAATATGGAAAGCTTAGCGTCTGGTAACAGTAACAGTTGTTATGACTTATCGCACCGATGGGAATACACATTATGCTCTTCTACAAGCGCGTATTGTGTCAGTGTGCGTATATGTTTGCGCAGGACATGCTCGGGACGAAAGGATGCGGATGGCCCGCACTGATGATGCGGGCAAAAGTACAAAAGTAATATCGTCGCTGGGGTTTGGCGGCGCTCGCGCGAGAGTGCAAAAGGGTGGTAGTGTATGTCGGCGCGGCTATCTGTGTTACATGTATTAATCTAGTTTCGGGATGCGACCGTGCTTTCGGAGCGAAACAAACGGGCGCGATATCAAAATGCACAAATCATCATTTGGTGACTTTTGCGAGACTTTGATGAATGCGACATACGTGGGCGAAAAATATCACAACCATGAAAATACTGAACTATATACTTCCACAAAGAATACAATCTGTTGGCTTAGATTTCACTATTTGCAATCACTGATATCATTTATTTTCATTTGGAAAAAATTTTCAAATGTTGATAATGCAACAAAACATGTCAAAAATTTAAAATTTGTAACAGCACGTCAAACCCAAAAATGCAAGTATCAAAAAAAGGTTGATTTCATTCCGAAATCCACGCGAGTTTCGTTTATTTATAGAAATATCATATTTTCCAAAAAAGCCTCTACCCAAACGCATTAACCACCGAAATCGTAAATAAAGGACATACATATGTAATAATACATAAAGTATTACGCCCTCCGGAGTCGATTTCTTGTTGTTTTCGGCCTAAACCGCATACATTTAATATCTAATAACATCGTTCGCTGAGCAGCCGCAACCAAACGCATAGTTTTTGTCGGCTGTATGTTTATTGCATTATGTAGATTGGGGGATTCGGGCGATTCAAGTAGTTTGTGGTTTGCCTAACGTCTATCTATCTAAGGTTTTATTACCGACGTGCTCCAAATATGTATACGGAGAGTAGATTATGTCGGAAGATTGTTACACCTTGTTTGGAACTGAAGACGTTAGGTGGTTAGAAGAATAAACATAAGCATAAAAGTAAAGCACAATGTAGCTCACCCTAGCCACCAGCTTCATCTAAGATGTTTTAGCGTTCGGGTCGTTTAAACTAAGTAAATAAAACGAGAATGGCTGTTGCCATTTTTTCATGTTAATATGCCTATTTGTATGCGACGTGTGCACCGCGTGTTTACTAAACAAACAAACGTGATTTGATTATTATTTTTATAGCGCTGAAAAATGAAGAGATAGAAAACTTTAGAGGAGTTTCTTGTAGATCCAAAGATTTACAACAATTGCAAACTAAATTGCACACTCCGCAAAACTTTTAATCGCGCATAGAAATTTATATTTTCAATTAAGTTTTATTTTCGTCGAAATTCAGCTTCAGGTAGAGATATACTCGTATTGAAGTATAAGAAGTAGAATCGGCATAACGAGTCCGAAAGGCGCCCCTTGATTGAGTATACATTCCGGCGCACTCGCGCACTGCGCTTTACGGCTTGATGCATTGGCAGTAACCGAAAGTTGAGTTCTTCGTTCCATCGAAAACATATTATTCCAAGTCTGCCAAAGGAAATTTATGGTTCTCTTCCTCGACGCTTCCGTCTTCGTCGCGCCGCTGCCGGCCGCCGTCTTCGCGCTTTCGCTCCCGCATAGTCCACCGCCCTTTTTACTTCCTTTTACCTTTGTGTTCTACAGTGCGGCGGCGGTCGATCGATTTTATAATTTAGAACCGGGCGCACAAGCGAGAGATGCGGACAGGATGGCTTTTTTATGCACGCTTTTTTGCGCACCCAGACGCAATCGATAGTTCCGTAATCACGTCATTAAAGATTTTTAATGGTATCCCAAATGGTTCGAATTACTGCACAATATCAATCTCAATACAACAAAGATATATCACATTTTCTCTACAAAAGTATGAAATAATGCTAATTAGAAGAAAATTTACGGAAACAGATGACTTATTCTAAGAATACTGGACGACAATTTAAGCTTATTTCTTCTGCCAACGTTCATTTATTCCAGCGTCTTGAATAGGTTGAAATTCTATCCTGTTCAGCTTGAAAACGAACTCAATCGTGCTGGATTACGCAACGACCTTCGGCGAATCCATTAATATCACGTCGTTGCGTGTGTCGTCCCGCGACCGAGCGTACTCCTTATCGTTTTGTATTGATGTCATATCCACGCCGTGGCGACAAAAACAAGAATCGAACCCCCGAACACTTCGTAATCTATCATCAATTACAACAAGCGACAACGCAGATCAATAAACTAAGCTAGTCGCGAATATGTTAGCCACCATTTATTGAAATATAGGTAACATGTCTAAACACTAGTAGTTAGATCAACAACAATTTTCGAATTTTCTGAGCTTCCTTTTTATTGCGCGCCTGCACCCTGAGCAAATATGATTCGCGGATGTTGTCCTCAGGTGGTACGTTGAAAAGAACATGAGACTTCTCAGATGAGTGAATCGAGTGGGTCGGCGAAGATGTATTCGCGGTATACGTTTCACCATTCGATGTAATGCTTGCTCTACTCGAAAAGTAAGGGCTTTTCTCGGCTTCACGTAGTTCCCTGATCCGCTGCGAGTTCCGGTTCCGATATACGCATTTTGAATTTCTAGGTCTAAGCTTCCTGCCCCTATGAAATATATGCAAGCAGACCCATTCCCAAATTTCATGCCAACACATGCAGTGCAGAGCGCCCATCTTCCAATAACCGTTTAATTTAGCTAACCCTTACATTATTACAAATATCAACTAATCAAACTGACACTGACATTTTGATTTTCAAATGATAGTACTGGTAATGTAACTTAATTTCCGTATATTTATGAAATTAGTATATTTAAACTGAGCGCAATGTATCGGAAAGCCCTTTCGATACCTTCGTTGACTCCAAATTGATTAAATTTGGACGCTTTGGATATGCTTCACGTTTATTCATGCTGTTATAATGCTGATTACTTTCTAAATTGCCAAAGTTGCGAAAAGACGTCGAGAGCTTAGAATATCAAAACAGATCGAAATAGAAATTGAAATTGCAAATATTTTTTTCTCAAACGACGATGTGACAACGGAGTCGTATAAAGGACGACGTTGACGATAGGTTTGTTTGTGCGGGGTGGAAATATTTGGGAAGTAATAAAACGCGCCAGCTTGGGTCTCCCGTTGTATTCGTGAAATTATTCCTACCATTAGAATAAAATAGAATGGAATTTCGCCCTAAGTTTGCGCTAAGAAAAATAAAAACTTTTCGATATTTGGAAAGTGCAAAGATGCAATAAAATAAAACGCTAAAGTTGTTTTTCTCTCTCGACAGACGTAAATGGGAAGTGTTTACTTGCCTTCGTCATTGAGCTGCAGCCCTGCAACCTTTTGTAATTATTGACTGAATAAACTTTTACTTCTATTATCAACGGTCTTATTAAAATTTATGAAAAGCAACCAGTAAACGCGAAGATTCTAAATTTAGAATGTAAATTTAAGCTAAAACGCGTATTTCTGGCGCATGCAATAAGAACAGCGTGGAATTTGAGCGCAGATGAAAACCTCCCGGGGAACAAACATTTTCACTTTTAATTCCGCCTAAGTAAATAAACATGTACGCGCTCTCTCACGTACGCCACGATTGCATTCAGCGTTGTATCATAAATAACATTCGCTTTTCGCGATGCAGTTATAATTAGGTGAAGCCGACGGCCGGCAGACGTTGAGCGCGAATGCATAATAAGGCGAAAACGGATGAAGCGAGGATAACGAAAATAAAATTAAAAAGTACGAACCGTTTCTGTGCACCGTTGTGTTGAGCGCGTACAAAGTAATAAAAAACGTGATTCAGCCTTTGTTGATAAGTGCGGCCGCAGCATGGGTTTGCACAGCAAACAAATTATACACTTTATGTTGGCGCATAACTTCATATGTTTCGGTTATTTGTTATGCATGTGTATTATTATGGCAAGGCCAAGGTTATTGCATGAGTCACATGATTCAATGTCACATCGTGGAGTTAATTTAGGTGCAAAACTTTGCGACGCGATAATTTAAAAATTGTCGCATTGTAAGAGAAAATTACTTACCCCGATTTTTGCTGCCCTTACGAATGATGCCAAAATGCATACTTCGCGACTGATGTATAACTTCTTGTCGAGAAGCACGACGAACGCCTTGCCCCACACCTGCTTCTCGTTGCGCACCCACATAGGCGACAAGATGGCCGGACTTTGTCCTTCTTGTGTGACCAACTGCTGAAAAAAAAAACACACACACACAATTTTAGCGATTGTCCTCCAAGCAGCTATTACTGATAGTGCAAATAGAGAATGCATTGACGTGAACATAACCCATTCGTATTTTTATCACAAGCATGTGCATATTTTCGTTTCGGATCGACGAATCAGAAGGTTCGAATTACGCAGCCATTCGCTCGAAACGACATACACGTACCAGGTAAGAAGACACCGTTTGCATAAATATACATTGCATTAGCAATATGTGTACATCCCATGGTGCGCATGTCAGCCACTGAGGAGCAAACTGTTACTGACCTAACATTTTTATAAAAATCTTGACGCATTGCTGGGATCGTATAGCATGCGGCTGCGATAGTCCTTGCCATAGGCGTGGCGCGACTGCATGCAGAACATGCGAAGTCATCGTTTGCGGTCGACAGTCAGGCAGCGCAGGATGACTGACGACCGAATGGCCGAGCGCGCCTTGTTTTGTTTTCGTAAGCTTTTACTTAGCGTTATTTGTATTATGATAGGGCATGATGGGACAAACGCTGAGTAATCAAAGGTTTGCCATCAACATGGATAAAGTTCAAAATTCTGGGAAAGGACGACATATCAAACACACATATACAAGAGCACAAAAAAAAAGAAAAATGTACCCGTGAATAGCGTGCCTTTGGCTTGAAATTGAACATCGAGTGAAAAAAAGCTTTAAACTGTAAGCAATTCTGACCAAAAGAAGCATGACATATGAGATTCACTTGAAGAATTAGATGAAGAAGCGTTGATTTGGAATTTATTTCTATGAATTTATGACTTACTTGCAGCGAAAAATTACTAACACCAATGGTTCCGTCGTTAGACAAATGCAGGTCAGTCATGTCAGTCGGAAAGAATTGCTGGAAATAAAAACAAACAAAAGCAAACTAAAATATTGTTAAATAATAATTAGGCCGTATGTGTGTATGCGTGTGGTTTGATTTAAAAAAAGAAAACAACATATGTTCGACCCAAAATTGCTTGTTAAACAAATGAGGATGATGCAAAATGTAATTTATTCGATTTGTATGGCGTGGATGCAAAAGCTCCGTCTTCCACTTCTGCTAATTCATCAGTTTTCGAATGCTCTTTCAAAGAAAAGCAAAAGGACAAAAGTTCAGAGTCGCTGAAAAAGTTTGTGAATATTAGTGAAATAAAGTGCAAAATGAAAAACCGCGACACGCGGCGACGGAAAATAAAGAAAGTATGAAACAGAATGCCAGCGAAAAGAATGGTTTATGCGGTTCGTAGAATTCGCGTATAATATACTTGTGAAGTTCTGAAGGCTCCTTCCGAAGTTTGCGTGTGAGTGTGTGGGTGCAAACGCCAAAAGTGTACACAGAGGCAGCGTTGAAATAAAGTTACAAATACTTTATAAGGAATTGATTGTAATCTGTTCTGGCCTGCAGCGCTCGTCTGCGTACTTAATTCAAGCAACTACCTGAATAAACAGAGTGCGCGTCTACGCATGTCCTCGTTTCAGTTTGTTGGGTTAGAAAATGACGCGTTCTTCTGATGGCCACATTGTAATTTTATTGTTCGCTGCGTTGTTCTTCATTTATGGATCATCACGGCGGCAATACGAGCTGTAAAAAATGTGCAACTTTTGTGCAAGCGCATGCTTCTCTGCACTCGCCTCATTTTCATCAGAATCTTTTTTTCGTGTCTGCTCCTCGAATGTATCAGCCAGCCCAGGTTCTTGAAGTCTCGAGTCCTCAACGAACTTCAGACTTGTCTGCACTCTGGACGTCTCCGGTCGTCGGAGTCTTGAACAGCGTCGGGGAGCCATGACGGTACTCATGCATACATTTAAATAATGAAATGAAGGATCGTGTCAAAAGAGCGTAAAACCGAATTATATTTGCGCCGCGCTAAATTCGCTTGCACAAATAAAATCCGTGCCCGTAGGCGGCGTGGGCACGCATTTAGCATCCCGAGACCCACCGCAACCAGCAAATCCAGAAATCCAGGAAAATGCAAAAGCGCCCGCACTCGACCCGGCGGTCCCAAATTGGCCCCCTAATCCTTCGGAAATTATAAAAATAAATGGAATTATTTATAAGCGAGCGCGGCGAAAAAATTACTGTCGCCTTTGATGCCGGATCTTACAAGCGCCTGCCGGCAAGATGATGCCGAGCGATGACGGAAAACGAGCGGATGAAAAATGTGAGGAAACGCAATTAGTACGTTGATCCATTTACGAGCGTCGCGCTTCGCGCCCGGATGAAATTTGAGTGCAAGTCGATTTTGCCGCCCACAGCTCGCCGGCTTTCCTAATTAAATTACGTCAAATTAGAGGATGAGTGGTGGCGAAGGAGTGGTGAAAATTTATGACCACAAACTCGATAATTAATTGCATTCTCGATGTGTCAAGATGGCTAATCGATTTATTGCAAATATATGCACAGTGTTTGCACATACCGGATAATGTTTTAGTTATAATTACATAGTCGGTGGGCTTCTGCTATTCGACCCGGTTCAGAATCAAATCGATAATTACAAGCCGGTCGGCAGACCGGTAAAACGCACCAAACGTAGAATATATAGATATGAAATCTCAAATGAACAGTACCACTGCATCCATCTATCGAGCAAAATACGAATCAAGAAAAGGAAACTTGAAAGCGAAGTTCATGCTTGTCCTACGCACTCTACTGGCAACAATCTAAAACTGCAGAAATCTACCACTAGGTGTCGCAAGCAGAACTATTATACCAGCCGAAACCAATTCAAATCAAAACTCAACTTTACCACTAATAATTGTACACAACAACGATTTTAAACGTGAAAATTAATAATAATAAGTAATGCAATGTATATCATTCAATCAAAATGGTGTCTCAGCAACATATAACTTTTCAAGACGAAGATTAAAAACAAAAGTTAGTAAGTTAGTAAAAATAAAAATGTTGCAGCAATGATTAAATTATGTGATAGTAACGAAACAAAATCGCACCTGAGGATGATGGAAGAATTCGTATTTTCTATATTCCATACGAAATATAAAGCGGTAACTTATATCCCTGGAATATGTTCGCAGGTCTCTGTATGCAGAAAGAACGTATTCGTGGTCTTCGAGTATTCGCTCTGTAAAACAAAAACAAAATCGATTATACTTAAGTAGACTAATTGCCAAACTAGAGTCAAATCAATAAATAATATGTATGTTTAACTTTGCACGCGGCGTAATTACATACATTAACTTCAGAGTATCAATTAAACGTTAATTGAAAAAGTCATAAAACAGTGCATTGTTCTCAGGCAACATATAAAACTGAATAGTTTGAAGTATTCATTAAACGAACATTACTACCACCATAATTAACAGCTGCGTGGTATTGAGTAGGAGGCATCTTAGTAAACTTCATACATGTCAAGTGTCAACTGCCTACTGAATGACTGTGCCAGAGATCAATTAGTTCAGATTCGCTATTTATCTTGCTCGTAATGCACTAGGATACTTAATACGCATAATTGCGTTACTACGCTACGTGCTACAATGATAAGATTAACATGTCGCCATTTATATACTTCATTATATATTTCATTGCGTGTGATTCAAACAGGGCATTGTTACGCAGTATCCGATTTGTAATGACTCAGCCAAATTAAACTAGTAAGAATAATTCTACTTGATGTGTAATTAATATACTTAAGACAAAATAAACGCATTCAATTGAAATCCAGCAATAAAAGTCAATGAATCGATCACACGTGAGCAGGCAGACATCCAGAAAGTGGGTTTAAATAATCATGGTCATTGATTGCGCTGTGCTTGTGCGTATCGGCTCGCACAAGCAATAAATACTCAACTAACAATTCACATGACCCTTTACACCTTTATGGGGTCCAAGACGTTTCGTCAGTCACATCTACCAATAGCTTTTAAGACTCTTAGATTGCGAAGTGCTTGACGTCACGTTAAAAACTAATTGTGAAATCCCACGCAGACGCTGTTAGCTTAGACGATTCGTTCAATACTACGAGTGATTTTTATCATTGAACCCAACAAAAAGGTTACTCGGATGCATTTTGCATTTTAAATTTAGAGTTGAATGATGAGAATATAAATGCGCAGAAGTTTTAATTAGGCAAATAGATATTCCCATCAAAACCAAAACTAGTCATTAGATGTACTTTTTACAACTTGATAATTAGACATAATTGCTTGTATATTTATAAACTAACAACATAACAATATTAATGTGAATTGATCGAACATTGTCCAGACAAATGCAAAGCACTAAAAACAACATCCGAATATAAATCACAATAATTTAGTCATTTTGCGAAATCGGGAAATGCAGTATGCATAATTCGAGTATAATTACGGATTTTTTGCGTGAACTGTTGTGTAAATAAATCATCACCGTTTGTTTGGCAATTAATCAAATAGTTCCAATGATAACGCGCAGAGTATGACATCTAAAAATAGATTTATCGTTGCTCAACTCGTGCATTTTATTAGCTTAGTATAATTGCGCAGTAATTCCAATTTTCCGATACGTGTTTTGTAAACAAATGATACATCTGCGTGCCACCACAATGTTAATGCAGAATATTATATTGTTTGTCATATATTTTTTTTACTTTTAATAAAACAAATAGTTGAAAACCTCTACCGAATTATATTTCAATCAGAAAGTTAACTCATCCGAAATGTCAAGAATATAGCACATTTACAGGACACAAATCCTTAGCCAATCCCAAATCCCGGCCTGAGAAAAGAGTAAGACCCTAAGGCAAAAGCTTTGGCGACCCGTTCGAATCCGAACATGATGTAACGCTTGGCGCATCGGGATCGCGTAAAGCACATTCGGCTTGGTTGGAATTTTATGGATTACTGCAAATGTATGTCAGTGGTGCATTTTACGACGCAGCACACGACCTGGATGTTGTGCGATGGGGGCCGAGACTCACCTAGACCCTGATCCACCCAGTGCTCGATAATGCTCCACGTGACGCTCTTCGCGAGGCGATTCTTCAACGCGAGCACTTGGCACAGGTCGCTGGCACACAGCGATCGTTCGACGACAACCGACTGGTAGCTGCCGTCGTCGTTGTAGAACAATAACGTCTCCTAAAAATGAACGAGTTAAGTGAATTTCATGTAAAGCAAGCGTCTCTCTGCATGCAGCGATGCCAAAACTTACTTCTTTCTCATTTGTGTCGTCCTTGTCCACCGGATTGAAATTATACTCGACAAAGTCAGCATCGTCGCGATCTTCCGGTATCGATGATAGCTCGATATGCCCATCTTCACTAAGCCGTTCGTAGCGTGATGCGTGATCATGGCAAATGCACCGTGTTCGCGGAAATCTGCAGAGATCTAAAATCGGAAACAAACACAAAATGTAAGTAAAGAGAAAATCAAATCGCACGTAAATCACGCTTAAAATATATCTAAATTTACTAGTTTACACTTTGTTCTCGCGTGTAGTCTAGTGCAAAAATGAAAGAAAACATCGCTTTGCCTTGCACACAACCCTTTTATGATGGCGATTACCGTAAAGCGTCGTCATTTCCGCGCACTTCTTGAAGAATATGCTTGTAAATCGCGCTAACGCGACACCGTTCTTTATTTTATGGTCACCACGCGATTTCTTTGTGTTCGTCCGGCATGAAGCCAAATGCAATTGCGACGAAGTGTCGCTTCGATGCGTCGCATATTATATCACGTCGTTGGGGGAAAATACGTTCACGTTTTCCACCTCGACGAGAATACACTCACGTGGTAATTCAACGTCGTCTCCAGGCCACTATTCTACACACCCACTCATTCGCTACCAACCTCGTTTAGCAATTTCATGTTCAAGAAAAAAGTCTAACTCCTTTGTAGGTACCAACTGAATTTGACGCTAATGCGTTAAATCGACGCATGTTTACCATTGGATACCTACAAGTTTGTTCCGTTTGACATGCATTATTGATTAGTAGGTACTTTACAAGCTAGAAGTTTGTAGATTATATGCTATTAGACAATAAATGATTGCAATTAACTTCAAGTTCAGCTAGAATCAATATAGTCGAAGTTAAGATACCCGAATTGAAGTCGTTGCGCGTTTAATAAGTTTACTTCAATAGTATTGCTAATTCTCCGATAACTAAGAATTCGAGAAGAAATCATTTACAGGACCGCAAGCGGAGAACCGAAATCAAACATATCTCATATCGCGTAATAACTTGTTCGGTCACGTACCCACTTCTTGAACGTTTTCCTTTCATGCCCTGGAGATGCACTCCTGCAGCAGGAGTGTTTGTACAGTTGGCGCTATTATTGCTGCTATTACTTTTATAGAAATTTTTAGCAAAACATTTCGTAACGATTCATTAACAATGTTATTACTACGATTTATTCCTCCAGTAGTACTTTTAGCAGTAGGTAATTTTACTTATTACTACTGAAAATTTTATTTATTTTTAGAAATATTTTTAAATTGTTCTCAGAGAAAATACCACTTTACTTTGACAAGACAGAAGCTCTTTGGAATTCTAGTATCCCCACATCGGAATGCGTTTTTTCGACACGATCCAAAGTCAAAATAAGTTTAGCATGGTTTCTTGCCGACATAAAAAAAAAACAACACATTCGCAATGGGAACAGCAGCAATAACAGGGACTACTCGAGTGCAATGATGCACTCGGTTGTGCAGTGTGCACGTCGCCATCGAACGACTGATTTGTGAGTTGAGAAGAAACGACAGGAATCCACAATAAATCGTATTAAGTGCCTTCTCCACTGTTTCACAAGTCTGCCGGTTTGTCAGAACAGAAGACGATAATAGCATTGCGCGCAGATAAATAACACTCGACAAAAACGTTGTCTGAGTAAGTGCAGGAGGCTAAACTGCAAAATTTGCTTTGGGACACCAACAATTACAAAAATAAAATTAGTGCAAATTCCAAACGGTTATTTGTTAGGAGACACACTCATTTTATAGGTGCAGAATGAGTCATTTCCGGTTGGGCTCTTGGAAAATGTATTTTTGCTATTGACATTTACATGCCACTAAATATAACCGAAACAGCAAAACAACAAACAGCTCGTTTGTACGAGACTACAGACAAGGTGATGTAACTTCTCGGAAGGACTCTCGGTAAACAGCAGTCAAAAGGTGATGGAGTACAAATACAAGCTGACATGTTCAAGTAGATTTATTCATACTTTTCCATGCGTTCGTAGAAATCTTAGAAAACACTTTAATGGAATGGTTAAAATAACAATTCGCAATAAAATGATTTAATTTCTAATGTATATAAATAACAAAACCAAACTAAACACACAAATTTGCATCTTGTGATCTAAATAGAATTAGAAAGTTTTCAATTAGTTTACGACTTGGTAATATAAGATACGGAGTAGATGTGATGGCAATTTAATATCCGTATGCGCTTTACTACCTTTACGAGTACAAACTTTTAATTAATATTAAACTGCCATATGTGAATTTGCAAGCTAATATTTATAACAATAATGCTTTCATTGTTCCAGCGCGTTTGTTATTGTCAAAAGTGAAAGCTTTTGTGAAAATTTGCACTAATTTTGCACTATTACAAGCAGTGTTTACAACTTGGAAACGATCAAAGCCAAGTATAATGTATCACGGAAATAACATAATATTGGAACAGTAAAAAACCTGGTTGCAGTTGGAAACAACGAGTTATATTTCTGGAAATTTTGTGTGCAACTATAAAATACTAATGCTGGCCACATAATACGCCAAAACGCATTAAACACGAGTACCTACGTACATCTGAAAAACTATATTACATCATTTATAGCGCATAACTTGAGGTATTACTAGTTATAGTTGGCACGTGTGCCATAATTACCAAGAAAAACAATAAAATCTGCGATGAAAAATGAAATTTTCGAATTTTAAGCTAATATTACCGAAAAGTAAATATTGCATCAGCATTTGTACATGTATTTCGGTATGTGTAAGTTGTAAACCAGAAATGAGCGCACTTTAAAAATTTAACTGCGTAGCGAAATTTTACATGCTCTTGAAAATTTGTAATACGGGACGTTTACACTCGAAATGCTTAGGTAGAAAATGAAAAGGAATTTACTGATAAGTAGGTACCTACTTATCTAATAATTTATAAAATGAATTATGATAAGGTAAAAAATGCAAACTATCTCTGATGACACTCATCAAAAAATACTACAATTCAAGTGCCTTGTCACTTGAGGAAACTACGCAACAAATTTTTATCTTATTCTAATTTTTCAAATGCAAATCGGTTTAAAATAGTCGTAAGGTTTATAAAAACAATCCTTGAGCGTTCCATGCACGTGAATTGGATATAAATACGTATAGAAATGGAGCATCTTCGCACCTCAATATTTTCATCAAGAAAACAGCGAGTGCTCACGCGTAAACACTGTAAGTGCTTTTGGGTTGGTTATTTTTACATTTTACCGAATTACCAAATACCACGTGCCTGATTAACATAATACTGTGACCTATTTTCGCTAATGACTTATATAATTTATCATGCAATAACAAAAATATGCATAAAACGAAAAGAAAAACTCCACAACACGTCAATCACACTTGTTTGAATTCCAACAAGTTTTAAATTATACCTAAGCCGTCATAAGATTAAACAAATAATTTTTATACTACTTAAAAAAATAAAAAAAAAAACAATTTAAATATCCTTGTATTCAAGTCTCTAAGGTCCTTATTGTGATATCAATTGATTGTAATACTATAAATGTCATTTAATTTAATGCTCCTCCGATTATAACCGTAACCTTTATTTGCAATGCAATTTCAATAAGCTCAAATCTACAAGACAAAACACTAACGCACAACTGAGACATAATGGGAGTGAGAGTTCACAATTTCTCGCTTTTGTCCTAGTCATCGTCTGCGAACGAAGGCAGGCCACTGTTGAACTGCTGATCTAGTTGAATTAAATTTAACGGTGTCTTGTTTAAGCTTTCAAATGCGAGCCACGCTGCCGCCAGGCCAACTGGAAGTTATTATATTGGTGTAACTAACAAGATTCGATCCATGATAAGACGCATATGAGCTCATATGACTCGCATTTAGAACATAAAGAAATACATTCACTGCAATCATAATACACTAGATTTGTTCCAATGTTTATTTCAAGAGATAATTATAGTAATAAATAATTAAATCATTTAGAAACTAGTCATTTAGCAATTACGTGAAAGTGTAACCTATAAATCACGAATGATATAAAAATAATCGACTGCAGCGCCATCTAAGTGTCGGCGACAACTAATAACAGTGGGGTTATGTTAGCGCAGCTATCATCATAGTAATGTTAATTATTGCGGTTCCCAAGCATTCCTTAACAATGCAATTTCATTTAAAACAATCTGTAGTGTCTTATGTACGATGACGATGGTTGGGAATGTCTACATTTATGAGGTTGGTTTGCACTTAAACTTTTAAATGGGATTTCTAATAATCGATTTCGTGTTTCATTCGCCATACACTACTCGAATGTCTTTGCCATCACATAAACTTGTGACGTGATTTATGCTCGGCCAAATGTGATTATGTGATTTTGTAATGCGTTATTGTTTTTCGCTGGTTTGTTCGCAAGTATCATTTTTAATGTGTTATTGTAGTTGTCAGCTCGGACTCGCGCTGGCTCGAGTGCATTGTTTCGTGCTCGAGTGTTGCATAAACTTTGCGTAAATTTATAACTTTTTATGTGGTTTGTTCGCGTCAAAGTTAAAATGTAAAGTTGTTTGTCATTTGTTTAAATTTGATTCTGCCAAAGTAGGTTGCATTTTTCATTTGTAAATTTAATTTATTTAATACTTACTAGCTTTTGCGACTTCGTCCCGGTAGCGTTTAATAAAAATGAAATTCGTTTTTACTCACTTGTTCTAGACATAATATGTGACAATTCTATCAATAAAATTCCCAATTTTATTTTAAAGAAATTAATTATATAAAGAATGGCTAATAATTCACTTCAGCGCGCCATATCGGATTCAATTATTTAACTATAACTATGATTGAATTTCAATGCCAACTTTTATCCTATAGATAAGGGCTGTCTTTAGGGTTTTTCTGGCAATTATCCGAATATTTCTCGCCGTAAAAACCATCCATGGACTTTAAGGAACATTTAAAAAAAAGAATTTGCTAAATTAATCTAGGCGTTGTTGAGTTCGGCGCTTACCAACCGATTTTGCGTTTCATTTTTATATTATAGATTTGACTAGTGATGTATGTTAAGTTGCATACTTCTAACGCCCCAAAGTATTCAGACATAAAGTATGGTTTTTGGTGATATATAAACCCAGTTATATTCCTTTCATCGTAAAAAAAT